TTCCTTCCTTCCTTCCTTCCTTCCTTCCTTCCTTCCTTCCTTCCTTCTTCTCTTCCTCTCCTGAATGATAAGCAACAGCAGGATAAATAGCTCCTTCTAAACCAGCAAGTTTGGGAACCACAAAGATTTGCAAGAAAAAAGTTGATAGGTAAATTTTTCTTTTAGTAGTATAGTGTACACTTGTCCAGAGCTCTGTGCCCTCCTCCATGCAACTTGCAGAAAAGGCAAAGAGGTTGGGCATTTTATCTTCCTAAGAATATTTGACTTCATTTAAAAAAAAACAAAGCAAAATTCTTGGCCTTTAAACCACAGCATGCCCTTCGTAACTTCTTGTTATGCCTCACAAGCCGGTGGAATTAGAATTAGTTACTTGTACATTGCACACCGACTTTTAACTTTTGCAAGATCGATGTCCCTCTGATTTTTGGTGCGGAGCATGGCTGGGTTTTGCTGCACACACTTTCAGTCCTCATTTTGTTCAGGCTAGGAGAAAATTGTATCTTGTTATTTTGTTTAGAACAGTACACACCTTCCTCACCTTTCTTCCTGAATATTTATTCTTTTTTCTCGCCTTTCTTGGAAACCAGCCTCGGCCCCCACCTCTTTTGAAGGTCCATTTGGCAAAGTGATGCATCAGGTGAAAGCTGTCATCGAGACACCACGGTTTTCCAAGGATCATAAGTGTCACAAGGTCTTCTACGTTCTGTGTCCGCTGAATCTGAACGATATCCCAGATATTGAGGCAAGTTTGGGGATGGAGGTTGCTGACCCCAAGAGCTAACCCACTTGGGTTCTTTCTCTCCTCCCCACCAAAAACATTCTTTTTTTATTGATAAATATAAAAGACTCAATAACTATAGGAGTGCAATTACTTTTGGAAAAACCACTCATGCATCATCACGAAATCTCCAGAACCGTAAAGCCTACAAACGTGAAATTTGGCACGTAGGTTCCTCTTGGCTTCTAGGTGCTTACTAAGAAAGGATTATTTTTCAAAATGACCCTCAGAGCATTTAGAGTATTTCCTATATTATTATTATTATTATTATTATTATTATTATTATTATTATTATTATTATTAACATGCTCTGATGCTAAGGAGTTCCACTCCCCCTCCCCACCTGAAAAGAAATCTCTTCCAAGTGCAAAACACAATTGTTTCCTTGGACACCCAAGGAAATTGTCTTTGGTGCATAAGCTCAGTGTACATAAAGAAAAAATAAAATACATTTGTCAAGAATCATAAGATACAACACTTAGTGATAGTCATAGGATACTAATACGCAAACACAACACACAAGGAAAACAAATAAAACATAAGTTGCAAAGATACAAGCAACATGGTTATAGTCATAAATGGGAAGAGATAGGGAATAGGAAGGATGAGAAGAAGAGTAAGGCAGTCTTGCTCAATAGTTGGACAGTTGGTTGTTTAGCAGAGGGGTGGCGTATGGGAACAAAACCGTCCTTGTGTCTAGTTGCTCTGTGTGTCACCACGCCAGGAGGCAGTGCTGGGTTTCTTCAGCTGATGTCCACTCAGCTGACCCAGCCGTCCTCTTTCTGTTTCCCGCCCTGCAGCAATGCAACACCAACTCCATCACCAAGAAGTTCAGCTACAAGCTTGTCAAAACAGGAAACGTGGTTTTGACGGCCACCACCGATCTCAAGGGTTACACCGTTGGGCAGGTCATCCAGTTGCGAACGGACATTGAGAACAAATCTGGCCGGGACACCAGCACCATTGTGGCAAGCCTCATCCAGGTAACCGCATCTCTTGAAAGACGGCATTGCGGTGCCAAGTTGGGTTGGTCTTGAGGTGTTTGGCCCTGTGCTCACCCTCTCAGCTGCCTCCTTGATTCATGCATTAGACGAACATTGACAGGGATGGAGGGGTGGATGGAGGAGTGAATGGATGGAAGGAAGGAGGGAGGGAGGGAGGGAGGGAGGGAGGGAAGGAAGGAAGGAAGGAAGGAAGGAAGGAAGGAAGGAAGGAAGGAAGGAAGGAAGGAAGGAAGGAAGGAAGGATAGCTTCATGGATGGATGGGTGGATGGCATGAGATTTTATCCTAAAACTGCAAAGGCTGAGGGACGATGCCTAGTCCTCCAATATCTCCCGCGCTTCCTGGAGCTAAACCAGCTCTCCCTCCAATCCCTAAATAAGCCACTACACCAAACTACCCTGGGTTAATTCTTCATGGCAACTTTCTTTGGCCTGTCTGGAACTTCCCTTGGGTTCAGCTTCACTGAAGTTGCCCCTTGTGAGAGGAAACACAATTTCTCCCACGGCCCTTTCGGCTGCTTCTCTAGGGTTGGGGTTTGGAGAAACTTATCCATTACTAAACTATGTTCTTCTCCCCTTGACCTCTCTTGTCTCCCTCCTCCCCGTCTGCCAGAAAGTGGCCTATAAATCCAGGCGGTGGATTTATGACTTGAGGAGCATAGCAGAAGTAGAAGGTTCGGTGGTGAAAGCGTGGAAGCACGCCGAGTGGAAAGAGCAGATTCTTGTCCCTGCGTTGCCACAGTCCATCCTGCAAGGCTGCAGTCTCATCCACATCGATTACTACATCCAGGTGAGATCAGGGACTTTCGGCTGGGCCCCCCTGGTGGATCAGAGGATAAATGGAAAAGGCCTCCTAGGTGCTCTCTGAGCTTGGTTTTCGTGTAGATGTTCAATGGCCATAGCCCTTGGACTTATATACCGCTTCACAGCGCTTTCCAGCCCTCTCTAAGCAGTCTATAGAGTCAGCCTCTTGCCCCCAACAATCTGGCTCCTCATTTGACCCACCTCAGAAGGACGGGAGGCTGAGTCAACCTGGAGCCAGTCAGGATTGAACTGCTGGCAGTCGGCAGTGTCAGCCTGCAATCCTGCCTTCTAACCACTGTGCCACCATGGCTCTTTATGAAGTGCTTTAAGCGGGTGACTCCCTGTATTAATGAGAATGCCCCCACCCTTATTTTTTGATCTTTCTCAGGTCTCCCTCAAGTCCCCCGACGTCTCCGTCGCCTTACCCATTTACATCGGCAACATTCCTGTGAACCGGATCCCCTTAAGCCCCGCCCACTTGGCCCCCAACGTTCCCTCCCCTGTGGTTCCGAGCGCACCCCCCGAAGAAGAGGAAGCAGCCGGGGGTTACTCCCACCCCATGGACAATATTTCAATCCCGACCAAGAGCCATTCCCAGCAGCAGCCCTTCAGCTATGCCCCGGGATTGAGCTTCCCGGAAGCCAGAGTGGACCCGGAACAGATCACCTCCCCCAACCGGCCCACGCTTTGCTTGTCCACGGGGTCAACGGTTCCGTATTATGCCGAGGGGGCCGTTGTTCCGGTGGCCACGGCCAGTTCTTTGATCCTACCGCCCGAGTATAGCACTTGGGGTTATCCATACGGTAAGCCACTGCAGGGGTTGGAAAGGAATTACCCACGGGTGACAGAGAGCTCTGTTGGGCCCCCAAATGTAAGAAAGACGGGTTGAGGGTCTCTGAAGGCAGGGGTGAACTCGATGTCATTGAGGGCCGCGTGAGGGTTGTGTTTGACCTTGGGGGGGGGGGTGTTTGGCCAGGGTGGGCGTGGCTATCACGCATGTCGGGGGCAAGCGCTAAGGCAGGACTCCCCTCAGACCAGAGGTGGGATTCAGCCGGTTCTGACCAGTTCTAGAGAACTGGTAGCGGAAACTTTGAGTTTGGGAGAACCGGCCCATCCCACCTCTGACTGGCCCCGCCAACTCCATCCATTCCCTGCTCCCATCGAGTCCCAGTTGATTGGCTGGGTCTCCTTTGGTTGCCCTGCCCAGGAGAACAGAGCTGGAAAGCAGGTCGATGGGGTGGGGAGGGAAGGGGGATTTTGCAGCATCCTTCCCCTGCCCCACCCACCAAGCCACGCCCACAGAACCTGTTGTAAAAATGTTTGAATCCTGATAGAGCAATCAACCAGTGGAACTCCTTGCCTCCAGAAGTTGTGAATGCTCCAACACTGGAAATTTTTAAGAGGGGATTGGATAACTATTTGTCTGAAGTAGTGTAGGGTATCCTGCCTAAGCAGGGGGTTGGACTAGGAGATCTTCGAGGTCCCTTCCAACTCTGTTATGCTATTCTATAGGTCGTCCCTCTCTTCTTCGAGACAGACCCTCCATTATTGGCAGACTGCTGTCATGTCCCCCTTAGTCCTTCTCTTCCTTAGCCTAGACGCACCCAATTCACCTCCAAACGGTTCCCCACGTGAGGGATTACAATGTCTCTTCTGCTTCCTTTCTCGCCAGAGGCCCCTCCTTCGTACGAACAGAGTTGTAGCAGTGCAGCCTCCAGCTTGAGCAACGACCACTAGGCAACGACAAGGATCTAAAGACGACCAGAGTGAATTGGGAGGAAGGGACGGTACGCAGCGTTGCTCGGAAGAGGGAGCATCCCCTGGCTGCGGGCCTGCTGGCTGCCACTCACTCACTCACGCTAGGGAGGCCTGTTTACATCCCACCTGGGAACTGTGCCGTCCTGCCACCTCCGTTGGCTGCTGCTTTTTACTCTCCAAAACACCTGTGATGCCTTATCGGGAATGCAACCAGGATCCAAGAAGGTGGGGTGGACCACGCAAGCACCTCTGTTTTTGGAGTGCTGCTCTTGAATTCCCACCCTGGGATTGACTGTCTGGACAGTTCCATGTTGACCTCCTTCCTTCCTTCTCCTCTGACGTCCTAGGGACGTTTCTAGAGAGCAGGGCAAACATTCCCATGATCCACGGACATCCTTTTTGCAACGACATAACGGTGTCAACAGGTTATCGGCAGGAGTTCTGGCAGCCTTTCGAACTCAGTGCCTGTCTATTGGAGCTTTTCCAAGGTTGGAGGTCTGTTGCCACAGGAGAAAGAGGGAAGATGGACTTTTTTTGTAGTGCCGAGCCAGCCTTGGGTAGAAGAAAGATCTTCCTTGATGTCAGCATGGTCCCTGAGACCAATGAGGTCCTCATGTGTTCAAGCCACTCTGCTTGGCCAGGATTCATTCCAGATAACGTCTTCGGGAACTGGGTCTCTTGAGCACGAGTAGATCCTTAATTTCTCCTCCTGAATCCTCCAACGTTGACTTTCCATCTGGTTGGTAGCATCTGACAATCATGGTTTGTGTCCAACTTCTACCTCGGCCTTCCTGTTTCCCATGAAACAAGATGGAACCGCAAGAAGGGGTAGAGGGAGAGAGAGAGAGAGAGAGAGACGCGGCTAGAATTTAAAGTATCTATCTAATTTTGAAAAAAACAAAAAACAAAGACCTTATATCTCAAGGACCTTTTGACTACACAGGACTTGGTCCTGATTGTCCCCCTTGCCTGCACCCTCAGTTTCTCTGGCTGGTGAACCCTACCCAGTCATGGCTGGTTAGTTATTTTTAATCATTGTCATTATTATTATTTTAATTTTCTTCTTCCAATGGGAGCTTCCCAAGATCTGCTTCCCTGACCCCACTGCCTCAATCACCTGTCTTCTCCCAAACCATCAAGGTAGCTCCAGGGGATTTGTCTGAGGAGCAGTGAGCAGGTTCCCTGTAGATGCATTTCCTGGGACCTAAAACCTACCCCCCTCCCAACCAACAGTCTGATTTTCTTTTCCTTTCCTGTTGACTGTGAGTTACCCCAGGGCTAAAACCTCCCCACCTTTTCACAGAGCCTCAGTCGCATGGACGCAGCCCACCTGGATGCCTAAAATCAACTCCTTTTTACTTCTAAGGTGATTGAAACCTCTCTCTCCCTCTCTGTCTGTCTCTCTCGGTTTTTGATTGACCTGTTTTTATTGTGACATTTTTTTTAAAAAGCAATTTTAATGTATTTAATAAATTATTCTGAGAAAAGCTGTCAAAGGGTTTGTTTCGGTGCTCCTTCTCTTCCTCCTCTGATTCAGCTTGTGGTTTGGCAGGTCGTGATGTTCTTCCCCTTAAGTCAGTTGCATCTTGAGAACCTAAAACCTTGGCCAGGTTTCACTTAAAGGCACACCTTCCTTCCTCCAGCAACCCCCACCAGCTCTGGAGAGTTCGTGGGAAGAAGAAAAAAATATTAATTTCCTTCCACCTGTCGGAAACGGCAGAATCTTGGTAATATTGATATAATCCCTAGACTTACAACCAACTTCATTTAGGGACCATTCAAAGATACAAAGGGATTGAAAAAAAATGACTTGTGACCATTATTCACACTTAACGACCATTCCAGAAAGATCTGCAAAATCGGACAGTTATGGATATTCCTTTCTGGCAAGCTAAACCCACAAATTTCAAAGGATTTCAGATTCCTGACACAGGTCCAGATAACGTTCACCGAGATGGAGAGGGATGGAATTTGGCTGTTCTGCGGGTACTTTTCACTACAAGGCCGAGTTCACCCTGCACACTAAGGGATAATGGGCTCCAGTTTTGACTGAGTAAGTTTTGTGAAGCCAGCAAATACAGCTGGTCGAGCAGATTTTATACATTTCTGAGCCGCGTGAACAAATTCAGCTGCGACGGATGAGATCACCTAAGTCCAAAGCTTGAAGTGGGCAGCAGATTGCTCAACTATAGAAATAACTCAAGAACGTCAGAATAACAAGAGTTGGAAGGGAACTTGGAGATCTTCTAGTCCAACCCTCCGCCCAAGCAGGAGACCCTACACCATTTCTGACAGAGGGCAGTCCAGTCTCTTCTTGAAAGCCTGCAGTGATGAAGCTCCCACAACTTCCAAAGGCAACTTCTGTTCCATCCGTTGATTGTTCTCACTGTCAGAAAGTTTCTCCTTATTTCCAGGTTGAATCTCTCCAGTTTCCATCCATTGTTCTTTGCCTGGCCTTGAGGCGTTTTGGAGAAGGCGACCCCCCTCCTCCTCTCTGGGGCAGCCCCTCAAGTGTTGGAACATTGCTCTCATGTCTCCTGCCTTTTTCATGTAAATATTCAGAATGGGTTCATTCTACAGCTGGATATATTCAACTCTCCCTTATTTTGCAATTGCAAAATTAAGCCTCATTGCATAATACATCCCCTTGAGTTTTCCTTCAAGCTTATGGACAAATCCCACGTAAACCTCATAGGCTTCCCCAGTCTAAACTCATTCAAAATTCATCAGGCATGACTTAATAAATACATATTCATTTAAGCTCCCGTCTGAACTCATGGCAGGAAATGTCTGGTTTTCCAGGGTGGCCTGGCCTTGCTCCCCATGGCTTTTGGGGAGGGAAAGGGGCGGGCTTCTAATCTGCAAAAGGCCACTTCAGTCTTTCTTGATGGCTGCCAGAAGCTACAAAGAACGGGCTTTTATTTTGGAGGAGTTTGGGAGATGAAAACCTGCGGAGAGATCCGTTGGGGGGCAGTAGCGTTTCATTCCTGTCTCCCTATTTTTTCCCTCCTCTGCAAAAAGATTGGGTTTAATGGCCTACTTTGGCGGAACAAAGCTAAGGTTTGCAGTCTTGTGTCTTTTATTTATTTATTTTTTCTTCTGGTGCACTCAAGGGTTGCTACTTAACAATCCTGCTTTTTTGCTGGAGCGATCCTGGCCTCCTGCATCTGTTGAGGCTTCCCAAGGCTGCTCTGGCTGATAGACAACCGGAGCTGCTTTTTTGACTTTTCACCTCCACGGCGGAACTATCTCTTTACCTTGGACCAAGAACCGTTTGGAGAAGCTTAAAGGGGTTTCACGGTTTGGACAGATCCGTGGGCTCAACTGCTTGGAGGGAGATGTGAAGTTATATTGGATACTGAAAGGGCTGATCCAAAACAAGCCCTCCTCGGAGAGGCTCAGCTAGCTCTTCCGATCCACCAGGAAGATTTTTTTGGCTTTCCATCCATTCAAAGCCTCCTTTTGCCACCCATGGAAATTAGATTTTGATCCACAGCAGTGAGGTGATTCTAAAATTCCCAACCAGAATGTTTGGAATTTAAATTTAGATTTCAGAGTTTGATGTGTTTACAGCCTTGCTTGCTTCTCTCAATAGTTGTATTGCTTCTTCCTCCTCCTCCTCCTCCTCCTCCTCTAACTAGACAATTGGATGCATGTATTTCTAAGCAATCCAGTAGTCTATGAATATCATTTTTTTTAAAAAACTCTTGCTATCAAAGTACTGTAATTAGGACTATTATCTCAGAGAAAATGTATTATCGTTAGGGTGCCATGTTTGCAGTGACTATTCAGGGATGATGAAACCTTTCCTTAGCTAATAAGCTCAGAGAATAACCTTCCCACCCATCACCCTTGCGAAGCAACACAGGTAAAATGATGCAAGAATTGCATGGGGAAGAGAATGGAGTTCTTGAGAAAAGTTGCATTGTGAACAAAATCAGGGACAAGCAACGGGCACGCATAAAGCCCAACTCTTGTTATGGCTAGTTTGGTCTAGGTTGAGTCTTTGAATAAACCCAGCTATCTAGAGATCAGGGTTCGACTTTGCACACAGTATGTGAGCAGTGCTGTGGTTTATTCAACAAACCATGATTAAAATCCTACCATTTAAAGTCTGTGTTCCTTTTTTAACTTGGCTAAACCCTCCTTCATCTGATTAGGTTTTTCTGGAACAATCTCTGCCCCACCAAACTGTTTGGAAGATTTCTCTTTACACCAAAGTTTTCCCTGATTTTTTAAAAAACTTCTGGAAAAAGATCGGTTTTGCAGAACCTCTAAAACATCCCTCTTTTGCAGAGAAAGTGCCTGTTTTGGATCAAAACGGTGCTCCTCTCAAAAATAGGGACGCCATTAACAGACAGCTCAGTTTCTTCATTAGTTTCCTTTTTCGTCAGGTACAGAGTTGCCTTAATTGTTCATTTAGTTGAAAGATGTCGCACCTTTGAATTTGCAAAAGAGAAAACTTTGTAGGAAAAAAAAATCTCCTTTAGGATTTGAAAAGGTTGATCTGGGATGATGTTCAGGGCCAGAGACGAATGACGTTAGCAGGCCCAAACCTATTATAGAGCCCTGAAAAGCTTGGAAATTAAGAGTTTTAACAAACAGTCATTTTAATCTGTTTGTTGGTTTTGTATTGTACACGTTTTGTGTTGTACAACTGGAAGGAAAAACTGTCCCACTTTGCATGAGAAATTAATTGCTTCCTGCATTTTCCCGATTGCTTTAAAGTCAGGAGAGCTTTCACTCTAGCAGGGCAAGGAATCAAAGGCCAAACGTGTCCCAGTGTTTAAATAAATTTTAACTTTTAGCAGGGTAAAAGAAAACCAGACCCAGAAGCCAGATGTTTATTTTATGTCCTGATTTTATTTAAAAAAAAAAGTTTTCAAAAATGCATTTCTTTCTGCAAAGATGCAAATAGCCCAAGGAGCTCCAACTTATTTTTAAATACGATTATTATTTATTATAGAGAAACATGCAATTTCTAGGGTTTTTTTTCTCCTGACTGCCTTAGCCAAGCCCCGCCCATTCCATACGGCAGATTTTGCTGCTGCTGCTGCTGCTGCCGCTGGGCGCAGCCATGACAGCCGGCATGAAGCCCCGGTCGGCTCCATGGTTGGCGGCGCCCGCGCAGGCGTGCTTGCTCTCCCCTCCTGAGCGAATGAATGAAGAGGGGTGGGGCCGAGGGAGAGCCGCGCGCAGCGAGCTTTCGAAAAGTGGGCGGGGCTACGCTTCAGGGCTGCTCCGGCCATGGCCACTGTGGATGCTGAGGTAAGTTTGGGCACCGGGTGCGTCCACCTCCCTTGTAAGGCGCGGGGGGGGGGCGAAAGGAGGAGACTAGCCTTGAGGTGGGGAGGGCCTCCAACGGCCCTTCGGAAGCCGAGCCGACCTCCAGCGCTGCGCCGGTCCTCGCGTTCCCCCTCCTTTCTTCCTTAGACCCTCCCCCCCGCTATCGCATGGTTTAGCCCAGCCCTCCCAATAGAAAGCATGAGCGGGGACGCTCCCATTGTGTGTGGAAAAGGGGTGGGTGAAGGTGGCGCAGAGGGGGCGGGGGCAGGAGGAGGAGAAGGAGAACCCTGGAACCTGTATAGCCATCCAGCACTCCCTCACAGTTGCTCCCCGAGCGCGACAGCTATGCAGGTTCCCGGGTTCGCCAAGTGGTGGCCGCTACCCAGAGTCCGGGGTTCCGGCGTGGCCGCTCTCCAGCCCAGTTGGCGCTTCGCCATGCTCGGTCTGGGGCCCGGGCGGCGTGGGCGGGGCCAAGCCCGGCAGCAGGCGGAGAAGGAGCGCATTAAGGCAGGGCTGTTAATGTCTTATTCAGAGCCCGGGGCCCAGGGGCTGTTATGAATTGCCCAGCCGGCGGGGCCCTGCTTTCCCTTCTTGCAAAGCACTCATTCATTGCTTTTAACTTTGCAAACTGTGCAATGGTCGGGAGGTAAAATGCATATTCATTTCACTCCCCCCCATGCTGATTTTAGCGTTATTTTGTTTGGAGCTTGGTTGCTCTAAGTTGGTTCCCCTGGCTGGGGATGATGGGGCTTGTAGTCCAATGCACCCAGAAAGTTGGTGGTGGTATGCAAAAGGAATGGAAATTCTGTGATTTACATCTTGCACAGCAGAGGGTCGACGCTGAAGAGCAGGGCCTGCTTCTTTTGAAAGCCTTTGCAAATCAGAGTTTTAAATCCCGCTTTCCTGAATTTTTTTTTTGAAAACTTCAGTTGAAGCTTCAGGTGAGGCACAAAAGCTGGTTATATAGTTGCAGCTTTGGGTTATTTGCTCTCCCCCCCCCCCCCCATATAAACAATTTAAAAGTCAGGCTTAGAAACAAGACTGCCACCTTCCTTCAGGATTATTTACATTTTAACCCAATACTTGGGGAAAAAAATCAGTGTTCTTTTCCACCGGTTCCTCTAGAAAAATGTGTGTTATGCTTTGCTTTGCTTGCTACTAAGTCAGATCCGCCATCAAATAGAAATTTGGATTGCACTGGCCTCTTTCCAGGCCCCCTTATAAAAAAAAAAGGGTGGGTTTGCAGAGCGGTTGGAACGGGGTCCAGTGTTTCAACACAGATTAAAATTGGAATTTGGGGAAAAGGTCCTCAAATATAACAGAATAAGAGAATTTAAAATAAAGAGAACCCCATTTTTAATTCTCTGTGGGATTGTGGCTAACTTCCTTTATCTGTGGCAGGAATGACAAACGGAACAAAAGTAGATAATTTAGGATGACGTTTGAATACGGGTCATTCTCGACTGTTTAGTAACCATTCAAAGTTACAACGGCAGTGAAAAAAAATGACCATTTTCCACACTTTTGGATGTTGCAACATCCTCACAGTCACACGGTCAAAATCCAGGCGCTTGGCAACTGACTCACATTTATGACGGCTGCAGGGTCCCGGGGGGATGCTTTTTTGGGGACCTTCCAACAGCCAAAGTTAACAAGGGGCAGCAGGATTCACTTAACAACCAGGTCACTAATGTAACAATGATTCACTTCAGGGAGGTCATAAGACGGGGCAGCATTTGCTGAACAAATATCTCGCTTAACAACACAAATTTTGGACTCCGCCGCGGTTGCAAGTTGAGGACTGCCTGTATTGCAAATTCCTGATAGATAAAGTAATTTTTATTTTTCTCCCAGAAATAATGGGAGGGACTTTGTTTGGTGGCAACTATAAAAGAATTTGAATAGCCCCTTTGTTGAAGAAATATACTTTGCAGACTGTCTGAATTTTGACTTAGGGGAGAAATCTAATGTTTTGTCTGGAGGGAGGCAGGAAATTGGCTGGCTGTGGAATTTGCGTCCTATTAACCCGTTTGCAAATTTCCTGTTTTGAGGAATTACGGGGCGCATGTATATGCTTTCTAAATGTTCCCACTTGTACCGGGAATGTTAAATATTCTAAATATTCCCATTTATACACTCTGATACTGGAGGAGCTATCTCCTCCTAAGTGCCAAACATTTTAGAAGAAAACGGTGTTTGCCAGCTTCCTGGAAGGCACAGTGGCAATTAGCTGTCATATTCATAATTCCGAACCTCTCCAGAGATGGAAAAGGCACAGCTCCGTTAACGCACCACTAGAGACACCGGACGTTCGCTGGACGGAACGGTGCCGTTTCAAACCCTGCCTTCTCGTTGAGCGGAAGGCCGGGCCCTTCTGCCTTCAAGAAACTCTTGGACTTCCTTTCCTGCCTTTAGCAACTCCGCTGCAATCAGGAAGGTGAGCTGCAAACGAAGGCTGTATAGACAACATTGTGGAGCTGTAAAAAATTTGTACAAACGGCTGCGCGCCCTCTGGCCCTCCAGAGTTGAAAAAGAAAGGATTCATCCCGTTTGCATTTAGTGGAAGACAAAAGGCGATAAACCTTCAATTTCCCCCATTTAAAAAGAGAGAGAGAGAGAGAGAAAAAGTTTGGTGTGGTGTTCCTAAGGCGAGCAAAGTAATAGGCAGTTTTTTAAAGACGGTAGCTTCACATTTTCAGGTCCCCCCTGAGACGCCTCCAGTTCCATAGAGGCGTCAAGAGATTCATTTTAGCAAGACAATTGAACGAACTTGGGTGAACGTAGGGAGGCGCCACCCTGATCCCAATGCCTGTCACATGGACCCATCTTTTATCATGCAGATATCCCTCGACTTATGGCCGCAACGGAGCCCAAAATGTCTGTGGCTGGGCGAGTTATTTGTGAAGTTAGTTTTGCCCCATTTTACGACCTGTCTTCCCACCATTGTTAAGTGAATCACTGCACTTGTTGAATTAGTAGCAGGGTTGTTGAGTGTATCTGGCTTCCCCATTGACTTCGCTTTTCAGGAGGTCGCAAAAGGGGATCTCGTGACCCCCCTGGACACATGGCAACCGTTGTAAATGCGAGTCAGAGGCCAAGCCCCTGAATTTGGATCACATGACTGCAGGGATGCTATGATGGTTGTAAGTGTGAAAAATGGTCCTATCGCTTTTTTCCACGATGATGTAACTTCGAACTGTCACTAAATGAACTGTTGTAAGTCGAGGACTCTGTGGATTTTACTCTGGTGGTCGTTGCCGACTTGAGGTGGTGCTCATTTCTGTTTCAAGGCCGTTGAGCCAACTCCATTTCAGGAAAGGAAAATATAGTAAAGAAAAAATATGTTTGGTCATCCATATATTAACAGCAGCTAGAATTGTATTTGCTCAAAATGAAAAAAATTCCGACAGAGGAGAAGGAGGAGGAGATTGTGAGAATATTGGAATGTGCAGAAATGAACAGATTAACATTGGCAATTAGAGAACAAGAAGAAGCGGAATATGGTATGATATGGGATTTATTTTATAAATGGTTGGAAAATGAAGAAGTTAAATGATATTGTTATAATGATATATAAGATTGAGAAGGTTGTAATGTGAATGTAATCTTAATAAGCAATGTATATAAAATACAAACATTTGCACAAGATATATGTACCCAGCCGACACACTGTATAACTGAAATATGGATTTGTTTTAAAATAAAAAATTAATTTGTTTTAAAAAAGTTAAGAAAAATATTGCTGTCCAGTGGCGGGATCAGATATTGCGGCTTGCATGGTGGTGAGGTTGTATACAACCAGGCAGAGGCAGGCATTGACGTGGTTTGGCTAGAGTGGGGCTGTAGCCACGTGGGATGTTCGTTCTTTGTGCAGTCAGGGGATCTTGTGGGTTTGGGCGAAGCAAGGGTTCGAGTGTTTGACTGGCCCCGGATCCAGGAGCAGACAAGGGGGAGGTCTCCCCGTCTTTGAATATTGTATACAACAGCAGCCATTGCGGTAAATGCCAGAGCCCAATTCAGATTTCTGCTGGGAAGATGAAATACTAGTAGAGGCTGAAGACAGCAGCTGATCCTGGTGGACATGAACACAGAGAGATGTTTGGATGGTGTGATTCACAGACTGCATGTCGTGTCTTGCGTGGAGTTAGAAAAACGGGGTGGTTCTGTACAGCAAAATCTCAGTTCTGTGCGTCTTTGGATGCGGCGAACAAAAATTAGTTTGGATTTTACTCCACCCCGTCCCCAAATGTTGGACCAAAGACCTTTGTTCGTGAAGCAGCCCATATCATTTGCTGAGTCATGTTTGCCATCAGTTTCCCAGTCAAAAATGGTGTCGGTTACATAAGGAGGTGAATTAAGTCAATTACCTGAAATTGCATTTAATGGACTTGTGGCTCCCGTAAACACTTTTCCCCTCGATTCGTCTGGAAAAGTGACTATAATCGAGCTATTCTCAGAATCCAGCCGCTCTCCCTCTGAGTTCGTTTTTGCATCTTCAGGGCTACAGGGCATTTTGGGTGTTCAGGTCCCGGCTGGGCTCTCGCAGCGAACGAAAGCTGTTTGACTTGGATTTGGCAGAGTGAAGTGCAAGGGTCTCCCAGCGTGGCAAGTTTAAGGCCTGTGGACTTCAACTCCCAGGATTCCTGAGCTAACATGACTGGAGGAGGAGGAATTGTGGGAGTTGAAGTCCACAAGTCTTAAAGCTCTCAAGTTGGAAGACCCCTGCTGTAATGTGTGAACCTAGCCATTGATTCCTGCAAATCATGGTTTGGGCCTTAATGTGTTGTGTTGTACCAGCAAGTTGCAGTTCACTGCTGCGACAGTCATAAGGCACTTTTTCCAGTGCCGTTGCAACTTTGAACAGTCATTAAGTGAACTGTTGTAAGGACGACCTATGTTCCAAAGGAGGATCTCATTTAGGTCCAGTCAGCGGGGGACCTTTCTCCTTCCTCAGCAAAAGTCCACGTGGAGTCCAGGGGAGC